AGAGAGAGAGAGAGAGAGAGAGAGAGAGAGAGAGAGAGAGACTTGATAGTGCATACAAAGCCGTCAGAGATATATCTGCTGGTGACCTAATGCACACCTCCGGATAAACAAACATTGTGTACGACAAGTAGGCCGCCTCTGTGCTATGACACATGCTTTGACCTGCCTGTAGCTGATATAGGTTTACGATGGATTGGGTCAACGTTCTCTGGTCTGGAAGGAAGATTCCTGGTTATAGCTCGTTCACTTTCGTCTGACTGCGGGTAAATCGGGATAAAAACAATTAATGACTCTGTTTAATCCTTCTGGGCCTTTGTACGCGGGTATAAAAGTTAAGCGACCAAGAGAATCTAAGAGCCCCTTCGTAAAAGTCGCTGCAAACTAAGGTTAGACACGTTTTCTTTGATGTAAGCATATAGCGCTCCAAAAATATTAAGGGATTTATTGCGTACACCTAAAACATTAAAAAGTTGACACATTATTTTCCTCAACTCCACTCCTACGACTCCTAACGTTCAAAGAAACACGATTCAAGAGACGGGGTGAGTATTTTTCGAGACTCACGTTGAGCACAGGGAGACGTCTTGACAGGCGGGGATAAAATCTACAAGCTTATTACTGAATGTGAGAGCAGGGTGGTGTCGAAGTCTCAAAATCAGCAGTTTGCTTGGGGGGGGGGGGGGGGGGGGTTGTTGCAGTGCTGGATTAACCATTAGGCAAATAAGGCAATTGCCTTGAGCCACTCAAAAAATAGGCCACAAACGGGCCAGAGACAGGGTACAACAAGGCCACATTTTTTCGGGTTTTTTCCCCGTTTTGATCAGGCCGCAGCAAGGCCAGTCAGCAAGGCTACAACTAGAATAGCCCTAGGCTAGCCCTAGCCAGAGTCCGACTGAGTTTTTAGTCCCAGGCCTAATTCAGAAAGTGCTGTGACATTATTTTGTTTGGCCTCTCTCTAGGCCACATTTTTTTTTCTAAAATTAAATTGAATCATTAGCAGTGGGTTCCAAATCAAACACATTTGGCCTCTAAAGTCACCAGATACCTGGTTACCCAGATAACAGTTCCAAAGTTGTGGCCCTGCTGGAGTCAAAAGCCTGCGAATTAGAGGTGTGCGAGTCCAGCATATTAAGATTCGAGTCCACACTCGAGTATCTGCTCTGGACTCGAGTAATTACTCGAGTAATTACTCGAGTCCCACGGCTCTTAAGACTCGAGTAATTACTCGAGTAATAGTATCCCGAAAGGGAATTTTAGTGGGTTTCAAAAAAAGTTTTG